AGTCCTGCCTGCCAAGAACTCAAATGTAACTGTGATAATGCAACCCTTCCCAGGTATATTGGCAGGTATGTGTGTGATCTCAGAATGCACAGGTGACATAGATAGGATATGACAGCTGGTAATGGTGGATTCATTTACATTGTTTACACTTCTATGACCAGACCTTAAGGGAAGGTCAGTTTTTTAAAAACCAAGTAGTGTCTTCTTAAATCTCCAAATACATGTCAAAAAAGAAGGGTATTTCTGCTTAAACTTTGTTTTTGCTCAGTAATACAGTCAAGTAAGTTTGTTTCCAAGAGACCCATTGAGCTGTGTAAGCATTTTTTGTTTATTTCAAATAAAATATATTTGTATAAAAAAAAAATGTTCTGAATAGGAATAATACGGGGAAATAACTATTCCAATGTATAGAGTCTACCAAAACATTAGGGAACTAAAATGTATATCTTAAATCAAAAATTAATAAAAATGCAGTTAGTCATCAAATTACAACAAAAAATAGTGGCTATTCAACCACTGTTCCACAGATTACATAGTTCTGGACTATTCTAGCTATTAAAGGAATGTGTACACTCCTTAGAAGAAATGATGCACACATATTCTAGATAAGTTAGAGTATATACTTGTACATGATCTGGCTGATTACAATAGAATATACTTTGGTATTTGAGTTCCTAGGCCTGCTAGAAAACTGAGGAAGATTGTACAAGATAAACAGATAATTCTAGGATTTATAGTCAACTCACTTACAAGAAGTGCTAATAACACGTGACTTCTTGCACTCTTAAATACTCCAAAATCTGCTTTATCAAGATGGCATAATTTTTAAAAAATATATCTAGAAATAGAATTTAGAACTTACAACTAAGGTAACAATGAGTGCAGTGAATGATTTCTTTTTCGATAAATGGTGGTAAATGAATTGCATATACACACAGAAAATATAGCTATAGAGTTACCTTGCAATACACACAAAACTAAATTCCAATGAACTGAAGATCTAAACATAAGCTGTAAAATAATAATGATTTTAGAAGAAATCATAGAAGAATGCCTCTGTGACCAAAGAGTAATCAAAGATTTTCCAAACAGTACATAAAAAGCAATAACCATGAAGTTTAAAAGTGAACAAATTGAGCCATGTTAAAATTGATACTTGGTGTCAAAAATTACCACAAAGAGCAGGAAAAGTCAACCAATACAAAGGACTATTTATTATTATAAGTTATAAATATATACATTATAAATATATCTGACAAAGGATTCATATACAGAATATGTTTTTGAAAAAACTCTCAAAATTAGTGTGAAAAAGACTCACAGCTCAATAGAAAAATGGTAAAAATAAAAACTTGAGCCTCCACTTTACAAAAGAGGAGATAGATGATAAGTATATCAAAAGGTGCTCAACGTTGCTAATCAGAGAAACGCCAAACAAAACCACATATAATACTTCTGCCCTCACCCAAGAATGCCTAAAATGAAAAAGATAGGGAAATGCCAAATGTTGTTGAGGATGTGGAGCAGTCACTTTGAAAAATTGACAGTATATATGAACGTTGAACATCATTATATTCTCTGACCCAGTAATTCTAATCCTAGGCAAATATGCATATGTGCCAACTAAAGGGGCTTCTAAACCTGCAGCTATCCTATTCATCCTATTCCTGAACTGGAAATACAAATCATTAACAGCACAGAGGACGAAAAATTGCCATATACTTTGGCAATGGAATATGTAAGGGTGGGACGGAGACTCACAAATAGTGGAGGAAGAAAAACCTGACACATAAAAAAGAATGTACACACTTCCATTCATGTACAGACAGTTACACGTCCAAGTGATAGTTACTAGTGGGATGTATTTGGGGGGTACTGGAATGGAACGGGAGCTGGGGTTGTGGGGTGCAATGTTCTGGCTTTAAATATAAGTTCTGGTCATATGGGGTTGTTCAGTTTGTGAAAATGTAGTCATATGTACATTAAGTGAAAAGTTAAAAAAAGAAACAAAGGAATAACAACAATGGGGTGAAGAGTTTACTTAAATCGAAGGCGATCAAAACGAATTCCTCTCTCCCCACCCGCTAGCCTCCTGTGCACGCATGCGCACTACAAGGAGAAAAACCTCATTGGCTGGGACGGGTGACGCACTTCCGGAAGCGGCAGCGTAGCCCCGCCCCTTTCGCCTCTTGAGGATCCCCGACTTCCCGCCACCCCATCTCCACACCAGCCAGCCTCGTGGCTTTGGCTGCTGAGACTGACGCCCCAGGCAAACCGTGTTCCCTGCATTTGCCGGGAGCTTTTTCCCCGTTCGCCGCTGGCTGACTGGCTTCCTACCCGCCGCCATTATGAACATCCGCAGTGCTCGGCCTGACGACCTGATGAACATGCAACACTGCAACCTCCTCTGCCTCCCCGAGAACTACCAGATGAAATACTATTTCTACCATGGCCTTTCCTGGCCCCAGCTCTCCTACATCGCTGAGGACGAGGATGGGAAGATTGTAGGCTATGTCCTGGCCAAAATGGAGGAAGACCCCGACGATGTCCCCCACGGACATATCACCTCGCTGGCGGTGAAGCGCTCGCACCGGCGCCTCGGCCTGGCCCAGAAGCTGATGGACCAGGCCTCCCGGGCCATGATCGAGAACTTTAGTGCCAAGTACGTGTCCCTGCACGTCAGGAAGAGTAACCGGGCAGCCCTGCACCTCTATTCTAACACCCTCAACTTTCAGGTTAGTGAGGTGGAACCGAAGTACTATGCAGACGGGGAAGATGCGTATGCCATGAAGCGGGACCTCTCGCAGATGGCAGAGGAGCTGAGACGGAAGCTGGATCTAAAGGAGAAGGGCGGGCTCCTGGTGCTGAGTTCCCGGGAGAGCCAGGAGACCCAGGGTGGCACGCTTTCTGGTCCTGGAGACGTCTGTCAGGAGAACCTGGTTGCTGATAGTGGCAGTGACAGCAAAGATCCGAACGAGTCCGCAGGGAGCACCGATGTCCAGGACAGTTCAGAAGACGCGGATTCCGCATCCTAGAGCCTGCTTGAGGTATTCTCTCCTCCCTTATCGGTCCCTTCGAAATCCTTAATCCCTGCATTAAACCTCGGCCTGCCCAACCCATCTGATTCCATACTATTCTGGCCCTGCTAGGTTTCACATGAAAATCCCTGATGACCTTAGGGAGAGAGTAGGGTGAGTTGGGAGATAGTCCATACTGAAAGTAAATTGAATCCAGTTAAAGAAATATGCATTTCTCCTGCTTTTTGGTATGAGTTATATTTTCATCAACCATGTAGTTGATAAAAAATTTTCTTTACAGAATTCAGTGATAGAATTATAAAATCACCATTTTGGAACTGTTGCTGAAATACTACATCTAGCCAGTAGATACTATTAGGTGAAAGTTGGAGCATTTTGTCATGGTGGATCAGGATGAGAATACTTGAAGTTACTGGTCAATTTTAACATTGCTAAGCATGATGACACCTATTATGTGCCTTCTAATTCAATAGAAAGTACATAGTACCACCTATAAAATACTTTTTCCAAAAGAAAATTGTATGGATGGATGAAATCTCATTTTTGTAGAAAATAGAAGGATTTAATAAACTATACTATGAAACACCAAATCCAAAACGAAGGGATTTCTAAAGGACAAATGACAAAGCTTCTTCAACAAATGAATGTTGTATTAAAAAAAAAAAGGAAGAATAGTATATTAAAATAAACCTTACATATATATTAACCAAACTCAATTACTACAGACACTGTTTAGATACCAATTGAAACAAACCAAGTATAAGACATTTTTGAGACAGTTGTGCAAAATATGACTATATTCTATCAAGGAATTATTTTGTTAGATGAGCTAAATCATATGACATTATGGTGTTAAAAATTAAGTATCCATTAGAGAAATACATACTGAAATAACATGCACAGGATTTGCTTTACAATACTTCAGCAAAAAAGGATAAAAAGGTTGAGGGAAGGGAAATGAAAAAAGAATGGCAACATATGATAATTACTGAAGTTGAGAAATGGGTACTTAGGGATACCTTACACTATTTACTTTTTGTAGTGTGTGAAAATTAACATGAAAAGTTAAAGAGCAAAAAATAATTATTGTCCTTTTTAATAAACACTAATATTAACACAAGAAGCAACTGAAAACTAGTTTTAAAAGATTGATATCTTAGGAACAGTTCAGGTGTCACAATTTAATGTCACAGTATTTCTTCCATCAAAGAACTTTCTATTTCCTTAGGAATTTCAACAGTCAGTGAGCTACTGGCAATTTAGAACCTTTAACTTCTTAATCTGGTCACCTTAAAAAAATCCAGTTGTGAGTTACATGCACTGCATATAATTAAATGCTAATTTGTTTACTTTACTCATTAATAAAAGTGTTTATTTGCCAGGCTTTAAGTGGTGGAGCTGGGTATGCAACGGCAATTAGGAGAGACTGGTGTTTATATTATATAGTGTTTAAGAATAACCGTATTAATTTTTATGCATTTTAATGCTGAAACCCAAATTTTATGCCATAGTAACCTATTTTATTTTCATTTAATTACAATTTTTAATTTAAGTTTTTTACAAAAATTTAAAAATAGCAAATCTTTGAGTGTTAGTCTGTCTTGAGAGAAGACTTTGCATCCTGTGTTTTAAAATTAACTACTTAATTAATTTTTTATTTTCAAATATTATGGGCGACAAATGTTTTAGTTACATGGAGAGCTCTTATAATGCTTAAGTTGGGCTGTTAGTGTGCCCATGACCTTAATAGTGTTCTTTGTACCAATTCGGCAATTTTATATCTTTCCCCTCTTCTTGATTTCCATTAACTTTTACTTAATTCTGTGCCTATAAGTTAGTTCCAACATTAAAGAGTCCATGAGTATTTGTTTACCCATTCCTGAGATACTTCACTTAGATAATGATCTCTGGTTCCATCCAAATTACTACAAAGAACATTTAACTTCATTTCTTTTTATAGCTGAGTAGTACTCCACGGTATATATTATATATATACACCAATTTTGTTAATCTACTCGTGAATTGATGGGCACGTAATTTCACATCTTTGCAATTTTGAATTGTGCTACAGTAAATATTCAAGAGCTGGTGGCTTTTTGTTCTGGGACAGAATCTCCCTCTATTGCCCAGGTTGGAGTGCCATGGCATCAGCCTAGCCCACAGCAGCAACCTCAAACTCCTAGGTTCAAGCAATTCTACCTCAGGACTAAAAGCATTCACCACAATGCCCACCTAATTTTTTTGTTATTTTTAATAGAGACAAGGTCTTGCTCTTGCTCAAAGTGATCTTAAACTCCTGACCTCAAGTGATCACCCTGCCTAGTCCACCCAGAGCACTAGAATTATAGGGGTGAGCCCCGGTGCCCATCCCAAGTCAGGTGTTTTGTTTGTTTGTTTTTGATAAAATGACTTCTTTGGGGCAATGCCCATAGCTCAGTGGGTGGGGTGCCAACCACATACAGCAAGGGTGATGGGTTCAAACCCAGACCGGGCCTACTAAACAATGGCAACAACAACAAAAAAATAGGCGGGTGTTGTGGTGGGCACCTATAGTCCCAGCTATTTCAGAGGCTGAGGAAAGAGAATCACTTAAGCCCAAAGAGTTTGAGGTTGCTGTGAGCTGTGATGTCACAGCATTGTACCCAGGGCAACAGCTTAAGACTCTGTCTCAAAAAAAAGACTGCTTTTTCTTTGGTTAGATACCCAGTAGTGGGATTGCTAGATCAAATGGTAGTTCTACGTTTTTTGTTTTTTTTTTTAGAGACAGAGTCTAACTTTATTGCCCTCATTGGAGTACTGTGACATCACAGCTCACAGCAACCTCCAGCTCCTGGGTTTATGCGATTCTCTTGTCTCATCCTCCTGAGTAGCTGGTACTACAGGCACCCATCACAATGCCCAGTTATTTTTTTTGTTGTTGTTGTTACAGTTTGGCCGGGGCTGGATTTGAACCCGCCACCCTCGGTATATGGGGCCGGCACCCTACTCATTGAGCCACAGGCGCAGCCCTACATTGTAGTTTTTTTAGAAATCGCCATACTGTTTTCCATAGAAATTGTACGAATTTTGAGTAGTATCAACAGTGTATGAGAGTTCCTTTCTGTCTGCATCCACACCATTTTTTTTTTAAAGGCAGAGTCTCATGTTGCCCTCCTAAGACTCCCAGGGCATCACAGCTTATAGCAACCTCAAACTCTTGGGCTTAAGCTATTCTCTTGCCTCAGCCTCCCAAGTAGCTGGGACTATAGGCATCTGCTACAATGCCCAGCTATTTTTCGTTACAGTTGTTGTTTAGCAGGCCCAAGGCTGGGTTCAGCCTGGGTTCAAACATGCCAGCCCTGTATATGTGACTGGTGCTGTAACTACTGTGCTACGGGCACCAAGCCAGTATCTATTGTTTATTTCACTTTTTAATAATGGCCATCTGACTTGTTTGAGTTCTTTGTAGATTCACAATATTAGCCCTTTACCAAATGTATAATTTAGAAATATTTTCTCCCAGTCTATAGGCTGTTTGCTCTGTTGATTTCCTTTGCTGTGCAAATTTTCAATTATATCAAGTATCTTGCTTTTAATAATCTGAAGGCTTCAAATGACTGATTCATTTGGTCTAAGATTAAAATAAGGATAGTAGAACAGTCTAAAAGGGAAGATAAAATGAAGTTGAGAGAAGTGTTGTCAAATTCACATCTGTCTTGAAAATCTTGAAGGGATCTATAATAACTGTTTTAATAAATAGTCCTCATAAAAAATCACCAACTTTCAAATTCATGTATAGAAGAACTTTATGCAATATTGACCTCATTTTTGTGGCTTTTCTTTATTATTAAACTCTAGCTGAGAACAGAAGTAATCAGAGACTGCTTTAAAAGTATATATGTACATATTTATATAAAAAATTTTGAGGGCCAGGAACTGTGGCTCATGCCTGTAATCCTAGCACTCTGGGATGCTGAGGTGGGTGGATTGCCTGAGCTCACGGGTTCAAGATTAGCCTGAGCAAGCGTGAGACTCCATCTTTAAAAATAGCTGGTTACTCAAGGCTGAGACAAGAGAATCACTTGAGCCCAAGAGTTTGAGGTTGCTGTGAGCTGTGACACCATAGCATTCTACTGAGGGTGACAAAGTGAGACTCTGTCTTAAAAAAAATTTTGGTGAATTAAAAAGCAGTTACATCTGCTATAACGAGCAAAAATAACTTCCACTGTAGTGGAGGAAGAGAGAAATAAGAAAATTAATTAATGGCTCTGCACCAGTAGCTTAGTTATGGCGCCGGCCACCTACCCTGGGGCTGCTAAATACCAATGACAACTACAACAAAAAAATAGCCGGGCATTGTGGTGGCACCTGTAGTCCCAGCTACGTGGGAGGCCCAGGCAAGAAAATCACTTAAGCCCGAGAGTTAGAGGTTGCTGTGAGCTGTGATCCCACCGCACTCTATCCAGGGTGGCATAGTGAGACTCTATCTCAAAAAAAAAAAAAAGAAAGTTAATTATTATGTAATAGTTATAAATCTCAGCATATAAATTTAAGAATAATTGAACTGTTTCATTATATTACTGTAACTGAACTTAATTTCAAACTGTTTTTAAGTATCTTTGTTATAATTTGTCCTTAATAGCATATAAAATAAAATCTATAGCTGTGGGTCTAATAATTACTGTTATTTCTAAGCAAATTTGAGTATAAATGATATTTGAGATACTTTAAGTCAGCTATAATATGAAAACACCTGTGATTTTTATTGGTGACAAAGTCACAAATATTGCTAATACTACCATTCATGAGTGCCTACATTTATAATGGAAAGGATTGCACGCAGTAGTTCATAACGGTTTTATTATAAAGTCAGCCTCACTTTGCCACCTAACTGCAGGGGACGCTGGGAAATGGAATAGGTTAATGTCCATGGGGAAAAGGAAGGAGTTTTATTAAACACACAACAAAGTTTCTGCCGTGGAAGGGAGCATCGTAGTGGTGCTCTACACTATGGGAAG